TGTCGTCCTGATGAAGAGGATCCCGTCGCTCACCCAGGCCCCGCGTAAGGGCTGGGGTACTTCAGAAGCTGTAAAGGCAGCAGTGGGTTTGGTGTTGGAGAGTGCCAGCTTTGCCAAAACCAGTGACAGATTCGCCCTGGGAAACTGCATACACTGAGGACATATGGGACTATGGCCTTTTGGAGGGGTTGCTGGGGGGAAACTGGTGGGGAGGGCATAGGTGCGAGGATGTGCTTGTAAAATGGGGAGTTACTGAAAACACGGAAGAGTCAGGAAATCCAGATTCCTCCCCTAGACTCTCCCTTAAGTTTCCTTAGCCCGGGTATCATTACTGCAACTTCTGCCTCCTAAGAAGAAATTTGACTATTAATTCACTAGTGTTTTGAGATCATAGATAAGAGACTTGTAGGAGTGAAAAAGTATTATCTCAGCCTTCAAAAAGCTTGGTTCAGCATTTGACCTTAGGTACTAGTTTCTGAAGTGATTTGACTATCCTTAGTCACCTCAGATTATGGCTCCACATTTTAATACCAGACAGTAGTTATTTCCATAACACCATAGCATTTATGATGTGTGATCCTTTCTGCTGAACTAGTGAAATTCATACACCTGATTACAGTAATGATGGGCATTTATAAAAGCTTAAGTAAATAGAGCTGTCTGAACATTTCTAATTGAGTTCTCTTACAGGCTGCCTAGAACTTATCATGACCACACGCAGGGAGTCAGTGCTGTTTAGTATTTCATCCTTGGGTAATCATCTGTAAATCACCTACTTTATTTTTCTTAGGCTCATCCTGTTGCTTTCAGGGTGACCTTTTGTTGCCCAGCCTCTTTAATTTTAGGAAGAGGTGTGCTGTCTTTTCCATGCCATCCAGTTTTGGTACACAGGGCAAAAAAAGAGGGAGCATGGCCAGGATGGGCAATGGAGAGAGACTGTTCCTCACTTGCTTCCCTGTTGGGCCAGAAGCTGGATGGGCCACAGCGGGTGGGAGTGGAGGAAGCGTGTGCCTAGAGAAGCAGAGCCCGCGTGGCTCTGGAAACGGGGTGCAGGAGCAGGGCATGCTGCAGGCAGGCTGTAACAGGCACTTTGGAAACTGGTTGTCATTCTACAAGCTGGTTTGACTGGCCCACATGGAGCTTTCCTCCAGCGTGATCTTGAGTGTAGGTGAGCTTTCACTCCAGGAACATCTTTTGTCATTTTTCAATATTCATTATAACCAGTTTGCTTTTTCCCCATATTAGGTGGCCTGTCCATCCCATATGAAATTCCATGTCTTTATTGGTTAAGAAGGTTAACTTACTGGGCAGGTTAGGTTTGGCTTTTGCACTTCTTTGTGAAAGAAGTTTTTTGTGTTTTTTGTCAGCTACTGATTCCTTTTTAAATCTGGGCTCTCAGTACTGGTTTCCTCTTGTGAAAAACTGTTGTCAATTTTTCCAACTCGCCTTCAGGTGTCTAGTGAGGTGTCTGCCCCGGCGAGTCTGGAAAGAGCCTGGGCTCTGAAGCTGCCTGGATCACGCTGTGGGTAGTGTACACACAGAGGTGCCTCTGCCTACAGCTTTCCTACCCCACCTGGGAGACATTTTAGGACCAGTCAAGCACATTTGAAGAAATCTTTAATGGGTGAGCAGCCCGATACTTTGATTTTAAAATACTGCATAAGAAAGAAGGAGAAAAAGACTCCTTGCATGCCAGTCTTAGCCTTCATAGACTTCCCAGAAAGCCTGGCCACGTTCATACTATTTCAATATATAAGAATTTCCCAATTCCTCCCTGTCTGAAGTACCTTCCCTTCCCTGACTGATTATCCAAGCTCCAGGGAAGCTTACCCTGCACAGGGAAAACTTTGGAGCAGGTTGCAGAACACTTCCAGGTAGCTCCCAGGGACTCCACAGCAGGACCCCGGGAAGGTGTGATGTCCCTCCTGAGGCTCTGCAGCACACCTGTGCCACACTGCCTCTTTTTAAAAGGCCCACTGGCAGGTGGGCCAGCTCCTTTTGAGGCTGCAGGATTATTCAGTTGTTACAGCAGGAGAACAATCCATAGGATTTCCTTTTGAAACAGGAACATGTAAAGCTGGGAGGCATCCTAGGAGGAAAAGGAACACTCTAAAGGTATGTTGCTTACCAGAGAAGTTAAAAAACCAACATCCTGAAACGTGTTTCTGTGCAAGTTTAGTCACTCTCCTGAATGGAGCAGTTAGTTAGACCTCTCTGTGAGCTGCAGGAGGCTCTTGGTTGCCGTCTATCCAGCTCTCCAAATGTTGCTACACAAGCTGTGTTGTGGAGCCACATCAGTGATAATGAAGCTTTCCCTTAGCTGTCGTGAGCTGCTGTGGCTGCCAGGGCGTGGGGGTGCTGCCCCTGCCCGTGGGTGAGCCCCCCCCCAGCAGGGATGCTGTGGGATGCCAAGGGCATTCCTGCTCCGCAGGCGGGGGCTTGTGCCATGGATCTGCTGGGAATATTTTTAATAGCTCTTTGGCAAATTTAGGGAGAAGGCAGTTTATCATCTGACCTTGAAAGGTAACGTGTAACTCCTAACACCTCACCAATGTATTTTGGACCCTCATAGCAAATTTATATTTAAAGTCTGATAAAGGGTATCATCATAATGTGAAGTTGGGTGTAGCTGTGGATTTTTATTTGTATACCTGAATGCCTTACTGTTGGTTTTCTGATTATTTGTTTCCCTAGACACAAATTTTATGTTGATTCACAAAAATCTACACCTGTTAATTAACTTCTCTAGCACCATTTCCCCAGGTTTGTGTTTCTAGCAATTTAAATTTTGTCTCATTTTTATTTGTTTAACCTTTGCATGATTATGCAGTCACTTCCAAATGCCAAAGCAGGCATCTTGTTAACCTAACTCTGAGGCTCCTTTCCTACTAAGTCCACCTGCAGCACCTCTTCCCTCATTCCAGTAGGTAGCTTAAACCACCGAGCTTCTTCCTATATTTTACTAGAAATCCTTTTATCTCGGCACTAGCAACCTGTACCAGCAGTCTTCCATTCTATGAGAATTTGTTTAGATGGGTCTCTCGTTGTGGCTGCACCTCCCCTGTCTCTTCCTCACTAGAACCCACTGGAGGGGAAGGAACACGGATTTTTGTCTGAAGAAGTGACTGTGATTCCATATGTGGGGCTTCCCCAGCAGGAGGAACACCTCTACCTTAGCCCCACTGACAGCAGAGAAAATAGCCACATTGATTTAAACATTTCAACAACTGTTAAAAAACGCTTCCAGCAATACTGAAAAGTACTAGGGCCTTTTCAACTTACAGGTATGTCAATAATCTGATCCTGGTCAATTGGTGTATAAATAGGCACCATGCACCAATGGCAGTGGAACATCCTTTGCCACTTGCGTAGTTAAAATTATTTTTCCCTCCAAGGAGTTAGAGATTGGCATTTTAAATTCCTCCTTTTCATGATCCCGGTAACTTTGTAGAAGTGGAGGAGTCTATTAAGTTATGGGATCTTTGAAAGGGACACCAATAATCAAGTCAGTGCTCAATGGAACAAGGTTTTTCCCACAAATCATGATTGATATCTGTGTCATTAGTAGGGTAGCTGCCCATCTCTTATCATGATTGACAGGTTAATAAGGGACCTGGGGCTATCTTTTCACTGCAAGCACACAACCTAACCAATTGCTTTTAAATGATTGCTAATTTGACAGAATATAAGCAGAAGGCATAAAAATATCTGGAATAATGTCTAATGCAGCTTTTACTTCTGGTATTCCAAGTGATCTCATTTTAGAAAACAGATTAGAATGTAGTTAATAGATTTTTTTTTTTTTTTTTTTTTTTTTTTAGATCCTCAGTTTTTAAAGAAAATCTTGTAGTTGTTCTTTGGTTCAATTAGGAGCAAAAGAGAAGGGAGTTTTGTAATGCAATTGTCCTGTAAAGGAAAATGTTTTAAATTGGGGAGATTATGTGAGCAGACCACCTGTAGGGCATTCATAGCTCTTTTCTATAATGCTCCAAGCCATGCCTTGCTGCCTGCGGTCTGGCTAACAATGCAGGGAAAAGCTGTTTAAAAGGCTGTTCTCCCTTTTCCCTCTGGTGTTCACTAACTGTTACAAGTCTTCCTCTTAAAATAAAAAAAAAAAAAAAGTCCCACGTCCCTTTAATTGAAGAACTTTAAGGCTCCATGGTGGCCAATTGGTCTGCAACAAGAGGAACCAGGCAGCAGGGAAAGAAACTTCAGACTATACATCACGTTTGGTGAAGAGAAAAGATCAAAGTTTTCCCAAACTCAAAAGAAACCAAGTTCCCTACAGATTAACCCTATTCATTTAGCTCCTCTTAAAGGAATGATGTTCTGAGCCACTGGGCAGACAGGTAAAAAGTTCAACAATTGCCAAAGCATTCTTCTGTTAATTCAACAGCCTTCTGCTCAAATAAATTAGCTTAGTCCTGACAGAAGAACAATACCTTTTCTCTTGAAAAAGGACCATATTTGATATACAAAAGTTAAGTATGAAAGGTTAAGATGTTAGTTTAATCTGTTAAGAAGAGATTGATCTAACAAATCTCAACTTGCTGTTCCATCGTAGTAGATGATCTATGAATTTAAAACATTAACCTTTTACACTTCAGTATGCATCCCCGGAAAGGCAGGTGCTTACAGAAGCGTAGACAACAGATATGAGAAGTGTGTGTGCACATTCCTAAAATAACACCTATTTTAAAAGGATACTTAACATGCCGTGTGAGATGACGCTTTTGTAAAGGCTCAGTTTAAAGACACTGTCATCTTTCAAAAAGGAGAGGAGAACTATGGTAAGGCACCTCCCAGTTTTGGCAAACACTTTTTCAGAACAACTTGTTGAATGACTTGTTTTTCCTTGTGTCTACAGATCTCACTGCTTTAACAGCCACCTATTACACAGTAATGACTGGAGCATGAACGTAGCTTGTAGTTTATAGAACCACCTAAAGACACAGCAGCTGGAATAACCAGGGCAGGAGGAGGGGAAAAGCTTGAAAAAGTCATTTATCAAAAGTCATTTTATTGACAAAATAGAATACTCATATTTGCTCTTACAGGGGTAGCCTCTACACTTTTTTACAAAAAAATTTACAGACTGTATAGCTTTGGATATATACATATTTTACACATCTGTACAAGGTAACAAATAATTATATAAATACATCCTTTAATGTAGGAAACCCGTATTTAGCTGGGGTGTATAATTAAGACATGTTTTGATTCAGTCTGTATTGTAAGGCATTTGCCTGGTCATCAATATCCCAAAAACCTGCAGTCCCAGCGGACTCCCACCTCGGGATGGGGGGGTGGGGAAGGAAGACCCTCCCTCCCATGAGGGAAGAGCTGCTGTTAGTCCAGAGTGAATCAGAAGCCGCTGTGACTTGCCCTCTGCAAGACACGGGTGAGCCTCTACCCTCCTCTGCCAGCAAAATAATAAGCTGGCTCCTTGAAGTACATGCTCCCTGCATATGAATGGAGGGGAAGGAGGAGGGGGCTGGAGCCTGGGGCCTCTGCCAGCTGCATTGTTCTATACAAGCTGTGGCTAATAAGGACCATTAGGGGTTCATTAATGGCACCAAACAGTGAGGGGGCATTTTAGGCAGGCCAGTGTCCCTCATTCCCTAACCTTTGGCCTCTTTCCCCCTCCTCACACTTGAGAAAGGGGCATCTGCTTGGGGTAGGAGACAGAGCTGGCGGTGCCCGACCTCCACGTCAGGCCGGTGCTGACATCGCTGTAGAGGGAGCCCCCGCCGCCAGCCCCAAGTCCTCCTGCGGCGGCGATGGCCGCCTGCCCACCTGCTCCTGCCCCTGTGCCCCCTGCCACAGCAGCACCTTTGCTGGCCCAGCAGCAGCGGGTGCAGAGGGCCCGCCAGGACTCGAGGGTCTTGCCAGACCAGACCCAGACACCGGAGGTGATGCCCACCACCAGGCACATGAAGTACTTGAGCATGAAGACAGCATAGTCAGGGCGGCGGGCCTGGTCGGGCTGCTGGTCGCGCAGGCAGGGGCAGTTGTGCGTGGCCTCCCAGCGGGGCCGGTTGTGCTGCTCGTAGAAGAGGCAGGCGACCACGCTGGCGGCTGGCACGGTGTAGAGCACGGTGAAGAGGCCCAGGCGTATCATCAGCTTCTCCAGCTTGTGGGTCTTGGTGGGGCCACCCTGCTGCTTGATGACGCTGCGGATGCGGAAGAGCGAGACGAAGCCGGCCAGCAGGAACATGGAGCCGATGGCCAAGTAGATGAGCAGCGGGGCCAACACAAAGCCCCGCAAGTTCTCCAGGCTCTGGTTGCCCACGTAGCAGATGCCGGCCACGGGGTCCCCGTCCACAGAACTGAGCGCCAGCACAGCGATGGACTTGACGCTGGGGAGCAGCCAGGCAGCCAGGTGGAAATACTGGGCATAGCCGGCGATGGCCTCGTTGCCCCACTTCATGCCGGCGGCCAGGAACCAGGTGAGGGAGAGGATGACCCACCAGATGGAGCTGGCCATGCCGAAGAAGTAGACGAGCAGGAAGACCACGGTGCAGAGGGCCGGGCCGGTGCTCTCGTACCGAACGTGCTCGGCCACCGCCAGCTCCGG